AATCCAGTGATATTTAGGGTTTGGGGTTTTCCAAACTGCTTTTAAGATCATTTTATTGACCATAAAAAGGCTTAAAACTCTTCAGTCGACGCGCCGAGGCTACACTGACATCTCCCTCCTCCACACGCCGGCAGGAGATGGCCAATTAAAATCCCATCAGAGGAAAGATTATTAATTAAAAACCCGTCGGTGTCAAGAGGGAAGGGATTTTGAAGGAAGAAGCGACGTTAAGACCATCGGGTTGGGAAGAAAAACCTGGAAACAACACCTCGTGCTGCAACACTTTGCTATTAAAAAGAATTTTGGGAGTTCCCCAAAAGCAAGAGTATTTTGAAGGAAGAAGTGGTGTTAAGACCACCAGGTGAGGAAGAAAAACATGGAAACAAGACCTTGTGCTGCAACATTTTGCTCTTAAAAAGAATTTTGAGAGGAGCCCAGTTTGGGATAAAGTCTTGAGGGTGCCAAGGAGCCCCATAGGCACCCCCCCACCGCAAAGACATTAAAAGAATATCTTAGGACTTAAGGATTAAATCGCTTTTTGTGTTTAAAAAGTGCTTTGTACAAATGATAGAAGGGCAAGCGACACTTACTGCTGGTGTCTTTCTTCTGGCTGCTGGGGGTGGTGGCCCAGTTCACCTTCACCTCCTGCAAACGCCAAGTCGTGCTCGTTAGAACCGGCAAATCCCAGCTCAGATCCCTCCAGAGCTTCAGGCTGAGCTCATGGAATTGGAAAATCATGGAATGGTTGGGGTTGGAAGGGACCTTAGAGACCATCCAGCCCTTGGGATGGACACCTCCCACCAGCCCAGGTTGCTCCAAGCCCCCTCCAACCTGCCCTTGAACCCCTCCAGGGATGGGGCTTCTCTGACCAACCTGTTCCAGGCTCTCACCACCCTCAGGGGGAAGAATTTCCTCCCAAAATCTCATCTCCATCTCCCAATTTTTGGTTTCAAACTCTTCCTTCTCCTCCTGGGGCTCCCCTCCCCAAACACCAGCCCTGGAGGGATATAAAAGCCGGTGCTGAGGGCCGTGGGGCAGTGGTGGGTTGGGCAGGGGTGGGTTGAGGGTTGGTCTTGGTGAACTTCAAGGTCCCCTCCAACCCAGGGAAGTGGTGGAATGGCCAGGGCATCACAGGATGGTTTGGGTTGGAAGGGGCCTTCAAGATCATCCAGTTCCACCCCTTCTAGTGGCTGGGACATCTTTGATGAGACCAAGTTGCTCCAAGCCCCCTCCAACCTGCCCTTGAACCCCTCCAGGGATGGGGCAGCTTCTTGGGGCAACCTGGGCCCAGCTCTCCCCACCCTCAGGGTAAAGAACTTCCTCCCCAAATCTCATCTCCATCTCCTAATTTTTGGTGTAAAACCGTTCCTTCTCATCTTATGGCTCCCCTCCCTCATCAAGAGTCCCTTCCGGGGACATTGATGGCTCCCACTGAGCTTCTCACCCACCAACCCCTCCAGGTCCTTCTCCCCAGGGCTGCTCTCAACATTTTGGGGTGAAAGCTGAAGTTTAAGACCCATTTCTCAGACTGTGTTCCACCGATGAAGAGCAGGGCTGGGAAACAGACCAGTCTGGGAGTTTGAGAGGGATTTTTTTGCAGGGTGGGAAGAGAGAGACATTGTCCCAGTGAGGTCAGCAGGGTTAAAACACTCATTATTCCCCACATCTCTGAGCATTCCCACTTCTACATCCCCTCCTTCTTCCTCCACCACTCCAAAGAGGCTTTTTTTCCTTAACTCTATCACACTGAGACCTCATCCCAAGGCAATGCCTAATATTAACCATGTGCCTGCTGGTTCTCCAGTGATATTTCAGCCCCACCATCTAAACCAGCCTGATGTTCAACCCCAACTCACCCTGGAGACACGACAGCTTACCTTACCCATTATCTTCCGGCCGTTCATGGCGGCCAGGGCTGCCGCCGCGTGCCGGTGCTCGTAGAACTCCACAAAACAGTAGGGATCGTTTCCAGCTGTCTGATAAAAAGGAAAAGAACGAGAGGTTTATCGATACAAACCCCTTCACACTCCACACTCCCTCGTTTCTGCTCAGCTTTTAGTTAATTAACATCTCAACACACGCGGGATTCATCACTCTATGCCGAGACTCGGCGCGAACACAGCTCCCAGGGTAAGGGGGGGGTCAGTTCTGCTTTAAAAAAAGGTAAAAAAGAACTTTTCACAGAATCACAGGATGATATGGGGTGGGAAGGGACCTCTGGAGATCACCCAGTCCAACCCCCTGCCAGAGCAGGTCCCACAGGAATGTGTCCAGGTGGGTTTGAATGTCTCCAGAGAAGGAGACTCCACCACCTCTCTGGGCAGCCTCTGCCAGGGCTCTGCCACCCTCAAAGTCAAGAAGTTCCTCCTCATGTTGAGATGGAACTTCTTGTGTTCAAGTTTGTGCCCATTCCCTCTTGTCCTGTCCCTGGGCACCACTGGAAAAAGACCAGCCCCATCCTCCTGACACCCACCCTTGAAGGATTTAAAGGCTTTGATCAGATCCACCCTCAGTCTGCTCTTCTCCAGACTAAAAAGACCCAAGTCCCTCAGCCATTCTTCTCCCTCAGCATGGAGATGCTCCAGGCTCCTCATTGTCTTCATAACCCTCTGCTGTCCCCTCTCCAGCAGTTCCCTGTCCTTCTGGAACTGGGGAGCCCACAACTGGTCCCAGTGCTCCAGCTGGGGCCTCCCCAGGGCAGAGCAGACGGGCAGGATGACCTCCCTCCACCTGTGGCCACGTTCTTCTTGATGCCCCTCCAGGAGACCTTCTTGGCCACCAGGACCCATTTCTGGTTGTCCCCCAGGACCCCCAGCTCTTTCTCCCCACAGCTGCTCTCCAGCAGGTCACCCCCAACCTGTCCTGGGCGGGGAGGGGGGGGATATTCCTCCCCAGGAGGTTTCCAGATCTCCTCTCACAAATCCACCCACCCACCTGTGGCCACGCTCTTCCTGACGCCCCTTCTTGGCCACAAGTGCCCGCTGCTGGCCTTTGGAATTGCCTTAATTCAGGAGTTTTCAACCTTTTGGGGAGAGACTTTGCCTTCAGCACCCTCTTTTCCCTCCTCCCTCCCTTCCAGGCCTGGAGCTCACCCTGTTCTCCCCTCTCCCCAGGAGGTTGAAGGACCTACATTCGTACGTGCTCTTTGGAGCTGGAGGTTTCCTGGTGGCCCAGTTGGTTCTCAAATCTCAAGAGGTTTCCAGATCTCCTCTGTTCACTCCCCCCCTCACAAATCCACTCACCCTTAAGTTTAACCTCAGCCACCACGACGTGGAAAGGACACCCCAAGTCTGTGAGTGTCACCTCCAGCCTCACTGCACCCCCCGCAACGTGGCTGCGCTGTTGTTTCCAACAAAATTCAGAAAAAAACCCAAGTCCGACCCAAATCCACGTGGTACCGGAAGCGGGGAAACCATCGGGGGCAGGTTCTTACATCCATGATCATTTTGCAGTTTTTGCAGGGTCCGATCTGGCTGAAGAGCTGGAGGATGAGAGCTTCGGTCACGTCTCTCGAGAGGTTCCCCACGTACCTACGGGATGGAACCACACGTTTAGAAACCATCCTGAGGTTCCCTAATTGAGCAAGAA